CAAATTAGTAACAGTCGAACGACCCCTCAAAAACCCGTGTTGGAAGGGACTGAAACAATTCCGCCGCGTAGACCTGATCATATATCACCCTCTCAAATACTTTGCCCAAGATACATAACTTTGAGATAGGTCTATAGTTATACAAATTAATTGTCATACTGTTACACATGATGCTAATATCAAGCACGAAAGCATGCTTCAATTGAGCAATTGTCACTTAGCAGCATGTGTGTCGGATTGTTGCTCAAAATTAGCATTCTCATATTATGTTTATGAATCGACAGGTGATCGATTCTTGAACATTTTTGAGCATGCTTAACAGAACGCCTTTTAGCATACTCTTTAAGAACATGTGTAAAGAGTGCCTTAAAATTTAGGGTGTTATAAACAATAAAATCACACTAATCTTATACTATTACTAGTAGTTTCGGAGATTAGCACGTTCAAACAAACAAACAAACTCTTCAGCTTTATAATATTAGTTTAGATATAAAGCTGAAGAGTTTGTTTTTTGTTTGTATATTTGAACGCGCTAATCTTCGTAACTACAAGTCTGAATTGAATAATTCTTTTTGTGTTGGATAGCGCATTTATCGAGGATGGCTATAGGCTATAAAACATCACGCTACGACCAATAGGAGCTGAGCAGAACGTGTGAAACAGCGCGGAAGTAGCTAGTGTTATAATATAAATGTAAAAAAATATTTGTTTGAATGTTTGTCCGTCAATCACTCTGAAACAATCGTAGTCATTTAATAAATCAAAGTAAATTGCACCACAACACAGACGAATCATGTAAAATTTTAATTTCTTCGTTCTTGGCTACAATTGTTAAAGTTTGTTGGGAAAAGTAATTATTTGAATATGAGACGTCTGAAAGACAAAGGCTATATCATTATCTGTGTCCTGAAACTTATAAGCTTTGCATAAGTCAGTCGGGGTTACACCGCCAACTTTCATTTTATAATAAGCGAATTCATACTAGTTTTAAGCAAACTTTTTTAGTCTCCAGAGTGACTTGGAATGGTAAGTATTTTAACTGACTTCTAAAAAAGAAGATTATTTTCTTATTATTCTTCTATTTTTTTAAAAAAACGTTGGTTGCCCCACATTAGGATTTTCTCCTGTGTCGTGGGTGCGTTTACAAACATGCAAATTCACATACACAATGACCTCCAGACCCGAAACAACAATTTGTGGATCACACAAACTGTTGTTCCGTGCGGGAATCGAACCCGCGACACGTTGCATGGCAGCCGGTTGCCCAGCCACCGCACCAACCGTGCAGTGAAAAATGGTAGAAGTCTGTTATTTATACATACCTACATAGTTTATTGACCATGTTTGAAATAGCAATTATTAGTACCTAAATGTCTTTTGGATCTTTTACATGGTTCTTTTTTGAGTTACATAAAATACGGCGTAAACCGAATCGTGTAAAAATGGCTACAATGGTTAAGTTATTTGATCCTGAAATTATTAAAAGCATCGCACTATTTATGTCCATAATTTATGACTAAGGTAAAGTAATCGATATTTTTATAACTAGTCTAGATTTCTCCTAGAACTGAAAATACTTACCTAATTTCGTCGGCCTCTTTACAGCTTTTTATGATATTGAGAACGAACACGAAACTATAAACTATAAACGTAGGCAAGAAGAAAATATTTGTAGAAGAACTATTGAATATTGAAACTTATTGTGATGAGCATAGGTCGGTACATAAGAATATCTTCATACTTTATGTATATTGAACTGAGTGATGAGAGAAGAGAACAAAATAATAGTTAGGTACTCTCTTCTTGTCGGTGGATGGTTCTAAATGAAGCAATGGAAAGTAATACCTTTTAATTACAAAGGATTTTATACTATCGTCCATCAAATTAAGAATCACCTGAGAGACTACATATAGACAGAGCAGACAACAGCGTTTTCCGATAAACCTGAACCTTTTAAACTGCAATCTCCAGCTTTCCTGCCAGACGTGGAGATTATAGCAAACCCTGTTATGTAAAGAAAACACATAACCCAGAAGTCCTGCAGCTTATACCACAAAGTCAAAGTCAAAATCATTTATTTCAATTACACCAGGAAGGCACTATTGAACGTTAGCAATAGAAATTTAAAAGTGATCATGATGATCAATCGTAGAATATATAAACCATTCAACCTAGGAAGACACATAACATAGGTTAGCAAAGTTAGAAACTAAACGTCTTACCTATTTAGACCATAAATCATGGTCTGAAGGCTGGAATGTTCGAGACAGTCTGCCGAGTATAGCCACAGTTGCGCCGAATGGTAGCCACTATGTGCCTTAACGTAGTGAGCGCAGTTTACGTCATATTAGATTTATGTCGGAATACCCAAACGCTACTCAATTTTAAGTCACGCTTAAGTATAGTTCTATCTCTACAAATTCTTTGTAAAATGACAGAGTTGGCACGATATTTAAGCACGACTTACAATTGAGTAACCTTTCAGTATTCCGGCTTTAGACTTTTAGACTGTGTGTAAATTAAAGATGTATTTTGAACTGTGTAAGGGACTGTTCTAACTACTTTATGATTTTGTATGCTGACAAAAGCTAATGTAGCGTTTAAAAATGTTATTTAAGACCCTAATGTTACCTATGATTACAATTAATAAATATATTTGTGTTTGTTTTTTTCGCGAATAATCGCAATTTAAGTGACTATTAAACAAGGTATATTCTCAAGTAGGTGAGTGAGGCTGAGTGGTCGCAAATTCGACTGCCGGCCAAGGTGTCTTGGGTTCGATTCCCGGGTCGGGCAAAGTATTACTGGGTTTTTAAAAAAATTCTCAGTATTAGCACGGAGTCGGGAATTCTGCCCGGTATATGGCAATAGGCTCACCCCCTATTACATGGGACTTATAACATAAAATATAGTGGACAGTGGGTTATAACACTGTACAGTAGCATTAAGTGCCGTAATGTGCACCTCTGTGTATCCCTTCGGGAATGTAAGGCGTGATGCTATATATGTTGTATATTTTCGGAAATTTTCAGTCATATACGGTGTGTAGGTCGATTTTAGGGTTATTTTTAAAATATTGTATGTTCAGGGAAAAAACACTACAAATAAATGAGACTGTCTAACAAATATTGTAACACAAAATTTTACATATCTACTTACACAGTAAGTATTTTTTTTAAGGGGGGAAAATCATCCGATGTCTGCTCTCGCCTGGGTGAGGCGGGAGGGAGTGTCCGACTCTTACTGACTAAAAACCACCCCGTTCCTTCTCCTGCACATCGAGCCGGAGCCCCGGTAACCCGTTAGGTTCTCCGCGACACACAGTAAGTATAAGTCAGTTAGTGGGTTCACAAAACACGTGACGTAATTCATGGTAGTTTAAAATAAAACATTTTTTTTAAATACGGTGTAAATTACCATCGAATGAGGTGTGTCACAATGTATAGGTAGGTACTTCAGCATAATTGACTATACTGTGTCACCAATTATGTTATTAATTATGTAATTAATTAATATTTGTCATTAGGGGCGAGTCCAGTAATCCAGTCGTGGTGGCCCGGAGGTTTAAGACGCCTACTTCTCATGCATGAGGAGGCGGGTTCGAAACCTACCAACGGCAAGTACCAATGTGACTTTTTCCGAGTTATATGTACTTTCTAAGATTATTTAGACACCACTGACTAACGGTGAAGGAAAACATCGTGAGGAAACCTGGACTTATAATTTCTAATTATAAGTTTGAAATCGCCAACCCGCATTGAGCAAGCGTGGTGATTAATGCTCTAACCTTCTCCGTGTGAGAAGAGGCTTTGCTCAGCAGTGGGCATTTATAGGCTGTTGATGATTAGGGGCGAGTCTATAACTTTCATAAACCAGACACAAACTGGCAAAAACTTTAAAAATGAATAAGTATACAATGCTTCAGTGAACGAAAGTCGATTAATATGTTGGTAGATTAATAATTTACTCATGTGTTATTGTCTTATTGGTTAGGTATTAAACTATCAAACACCGCGAGGACACCGGTGACTACAACCTAGTGTTCTTTAATTGTGTCTATAATGACGGTACTCAAAGGGTGAAGTTACCTACTGCTTGCAGGAGTACCGAGTAAGGACCTCGGATTCTATTTGGCATAATATTGTTGGAATAAACCGGTGCTTTACAAATTTTTAATATAAGTAATCAAGACCTACTGGTTCTCTACAATATGGGACTAAAAACATATACCTACCTAAATAGTGGATGTTACAGAGGTGGTGTCCCTGCCTACCCCTTCATTCATCTTCGTCGTCTCTCTTCTAAACCCTCCTTAACGTCAATAGGAACACAAAAATAACTTCATAAAGCACCAGTAAAAGAGTGAAATAAGAAAGAGTATCTTAGGCTTTAATAAAATCTTTTGAACGATATCTATCAAGATAACAATGAAAAGGCGAGAAATTTTACCGGCCCCCAAATTGCCGCTAATTGGAAACGGCTCATAATTTTGCGCTCCGGTAATTTCATTCAGATCTAAATCTTTAAAGTTAATTTAATTTGAAAATCAATGACAATTCTCTCGCTTTCGAATCTTTATTTTACTTTCTATATTTTGTGCGAATTATAAAATTAAAACACCCTTCGTTCAGTCACAATCATTTAACATTTATTTCTTGTTGTATTTTGCATTGTTAGGTACAGTGTATGTAAACTATACGAGTGATATGCTCTGTTTAGCGACGTACCGTGCATATGGGTGTCAAGATAAAAATATACAGAAGTAGGTACAGATAGTATCTTACCCTATATAAAGTGTTGTTATATTTACAAAGGTGTAGAAAAAGCCTGATTAAGCCACAAAATAAATTTATTTCCGTAAACATCTAAAAACAAGGAACAACATTTTTTTCGTCTACATTGTCAACGTGTCTACAACAGTGTTTAAAGCTCGCGTGAAAGCATCGAGTGCATTCTAAGTAGCAGCGCAGCGTCGGTCGATCTGGTGGTCGGCAGCGCGACTACCTGCAGTAACCCTCGCCCTGCAGGAATAACCTGAATGCTTCTGCTATCTTACTCGGCTGTTCCTCCAGCACCATGCCACAGTCGGAGATACTCAACCACGACGTCTTGGACGGGTCCAGCCGTCCATTGAACGTCACCGTGTCATCTACATGGGGTGACAAAGCACCAGTCACATTCAGAACAGGCACTTTAATAGTGTGCGTGTCCCTTGAGATACTCAGGTCTGTCCTGCGCAAATATGAATCGATGAACATCGCTAGATTGATCGGGTTTACATGCGAGAAACTCTCCTTGTAAACTTGTGCTAAGTCATGGTTGCGATCGTCAGTGCTGCGCCCGAAATGATGCCACATTAAATAATCCAGTGCCCCCTGTGTCATGCCACTCGATCGCAGCTGTCTAGTGTTTATTTTCTGATATAGCCATTCAGTCCACCCGGCTTGAGTTGATGTGCAATTAATCAAAATTAGTGCGTCTACCTTTTGAGGACTAACGACAGCATAGCGCGCCAAAATGTTGGCGCCGGCACCTACTCCAAATCCAATAAAGGATCTTATCCCAAAGTGTCCCAAAATGAAATCTATTTGGGAAGCCAATGCATCCATGCTAGGGTAAGTATAATCCTCGGGCAGTGTGGGGGCGCCCTCCTCTTGTCCCGGCGCGGTTACATGATAGATACAAAACTTATCCAATATAGCTCTCATGTCGATGAAATTGAAGAAGGCCTGGAAGTTGGCGGCATAGTTGAGACCAAGGTCATGGTAAGTGATGATGGCGCGCTTGCTGCGGTCCCCGCGGACGGCGACGAGTAGGTCTCCGCGGGAAGTCCTCACCCTCTCCTCTACGCATGCGCCGTCGTTGTGCAATCGTCTATTTGATGGGAAATGTAATTGAACGCTTTTCAATTCATCTTCGAAATTGTCTGAAGACATCATATTGAGCAGTGCTATGTTCTCATGTACGTGTGTAGGCATCTTTTTGTAAATATCGAATGGCACTTTCATCAATGTCAACCTCTTTGTTTACTTGTTACGTATCGACCTCCTGTTGGCGTCGAGACAGGTGTAAGATTTCTTCAATTTTCTTAATTAACGCTTGCCATTAGTCACTGTTAACGATCCTGTGCTTATTACGTGCATACTAAATAACACAATGTCCGTTGTAGATGATTTAAATGTTTATTTGTCACTGAGTCACAGCATAACACTTTGTTTATGTTAAAATTCTTATTCTATCTGGCAGTATTGTGAACAGACTATGTTATTATATTGGAATTATCGCAGGAAATGGTCAATAATGCGTTGACCGGGCGAGCGTGAGTTCCAGCGCGAGGTTGATTCGGTACTGCTCGGCTGTTTCCGTCGGAGATCGCTTGGTTCGCGGGTACCTGCTGGCCGACCGCGGCGAACTTCACACTGGTCGGGCAGCTCGCACATGCGTGCCGCGCATATCGAATTTTTCCTAGATGTTATGTTTATTAGTTTGCCCATCTATGACAATCGATCATTTTAATAGAGGCATAAGTAATAGAGGTAATTTAATTATTACGAATGTAGTTTGGTATACATTTCTAGCCACTTGGGATTTTAAATGATATTAGTACCTACAACCTTTCAACTTTGAAGTTATTATTATGATAACCTTGACATATTTCGGGTCAAAGTATTGTATAAATAAACAATTTGATGAGTCAAAGTTATTACGTACACCCACACATGTTTCATTATATTTCACTTTAATTTCTACGAACTTTATTCAATAATTATTTTATCATCACGTTGGCTAATATCTGAAGAGCCGGGTAGGGAACAAACACAAGAGACATAATTAACAGTCAAAGAATTTGACAGTACAGAGTACTGTAGGTACATACCTTCATAAATTTATACATAGAGTTTAATTCATGCATACAAAGAATTTCAAACTCATAGGTATTTATTAATTATTACTTATTCACAAAACATAACAGTGAATGGCGGACTTAATGCCTTACGGCAATTTCTGACAGTCAATCATAGGGAAGTGCAGAGAACTGAAGCGGTTAATGCGAAGCCAGAACACAATAAGAAAAGAAATAATTGTCATTAAATAATATGCATACTATACACATAAAATCCTATACAATAAATATAACAATACACTATGTACCTATACCATACATATAAATACAACATTCTTTTTTTGAAATTGTATAGTAATCGTACCTAAGTTCATGTCGATAATAAAGTCCGTTGTAAAATAGCTATGAAGTATGTATCTACAAACACAGTACGTACTGGCTACCTTCATATAATGGTATTGCAATAAGTTATAAGCAAGCGATCGATACCTGTCGACAGTCTGTAATAGATTGCTTGCTAGGAAATTGTTCCGTGCTACTGTTTTCTTAGTATTGAGAAATAACCACTCTGTTAAATAGTACCTACATTACTTGTTGTACGTTGGTTTTATAAAAAATATCCTTACTATCCTTACTATATAGGTATATATAGGTATTAGGTATATTAGGTATATATATATAATATTATAAATCAGAAAGTGAGTTTGTTTGTTTGTTTGTTTGTTTCTTCCGCTTTCACGCCGTAACTACTAAACCGATTGCTTTGAATTTTTGCAGACGTAAAGTTAGAAGTCCGGATTAAATAATAGGGTACTTTTTATCCCGGAGAAATTTGATATTCCCGAGGGAAAACACAAATATTGGTATAGATGGCGCTGCATGTATTGGTATATGTCACATAGGCTACTTTAACCGCGGCGCGGGTAAAAGCTAGTACTACATAAATAACAATTTTTATTGCATGAAATATAGATAGAGGTATACTTACTAATCTATTGAAGTTGTAGTATTAATTAGATATAACATACATAACATTACGGCTTTTATCCCCGCACCTCTGCCTACCCCAGTGGTGTACATTCTGGCACTTAATGCCACTGTATAATAGTGTACAATGTAACACCCATTTTTCACTATTTATGTTATGAGTCCCTTGTAATAGGAGGTGAGTCTATTGCTATATACCGGGTACAATACCAGACTCCTAATACTGAACATTTTTAAAAACCCAATAAGAATTTGATCGACCCGGGTATCGAACTCGAGACTCTTTGCCCGGCAGTCGCACTTGCGACTGCTCGGTCAACGAGGCAGTCAAAATAGGACACGCAATAGTCAAGCGGAATGTTTCGAAAATTGAAGTATCCTTTAAGAATTTGTACTTATGTCTTGTCAAAGTCTATCGATCTATGTGCCACATAAATACATATATCAGGTACTTATTATCAAATAGCCGTCGTCGTGGCCCGAGGTTTAAGACGCTGGCATCTCATGAATGAGAATGCGGGTTCGAAAGCTACCAACGGCAAGTACCAATGTGAATTTTTCCGAGTTATATGTACTTTTTTTAAGGTTATTTAGACTCCATTGACAAACGGTGAAGGAAAACATCGTGAGGAAATCTGGACTTATAATTCCTAATCATAAGTTTGTAATCGCCAACCCGCATTGAGCAAGCGTGGTGATTAATGCTCAAACCTTCTCCGTGTGAGAAGAGGCTTTGCTCAGCAGTGGGCATTTATAGGCTGTTGACGATTATTATCAAATAGGTGAAAGAGGCGTTAGTAATTGAAGAAAGGCCTTGATATTACTGTTCCATGTTCGAAGCTCGAGGACATTTATGACAAAAATGTTCACCAAGATAACGAACCACCGGGTTCACATAACTACGTCGAGAGCAAAGCCGCGGGCTATGTATTGATGTAAACGGGAAAAAATGATTTCCTTTTTGTGAGTATATAAAATGATCTACTATATAAGGGTGCGTTCACACCTGGCAAATGCACCTAGAATGTGCCACTCGTGAGCTGTTTGCGGGCTGCAAATTGTTGTTTATATTTTAAATGCATAAATAATAATTTTAAACGCACGCGCGCAGCTCGCGGGCTGCTCGCGAGCGGCTTGCGAGCTGCCCATTGCAGCATTCGCCAGATGTGGACGCACCCTTAGGATAGATAGTCTGTTGTCCATCATATTGAACATGGCGACTGCGGTTTGTCTGTCAGTGTCATTAAAATGAATTAATAAAGCGAAATAATCTCCGTAATCCGAATTTTGCGGATATATGTTGTCGACTCGAAATCGATATTTTTTTATGTTTTGTTATTCAGGTAATGTTTCGATCGAGTCTACCGTACCCCTTTACCGAAATTATTAATATAGACTAGAACGCCCTTTATCTATAATAATTTTATTTTAGTTAAAATTTTTACAATTGTATTTTTTTTCTATATATTTCGAACCAACACTGTATAAAAAGCCATATTATTATGTCGATAGTATGTACATACGACAAATCAAGCTTAGCATAACCAATATAAACCGAGTGTCAAATATGCGAAAAGATCATACAAGACCATAATAAACTGGATATGTATTCCTAGTTCGATGTGTAGTTAGTAAATTCCCAATACACTTCGATATGCAGCGTCGTCGGGGCGAGGGGGGCAATGACCTGGGTGTTCGGTGTCCAGCGAGCTACTTATTACTAATACCAAGCGCTGACCGACGTCAACCCTTATGTGAACCCCTTTATAATGCACTTATATTTGTTACATGAAACCTTGCTTGTTATGAACTGAAGGGCTAGACTTAGAGTTACTTATACGAGTATGTAGTTATATGAATAATTGTATACTCATTAAGTAATTGTTGACTGCCTCGTTGGCCGAGTGGTCGCAAGTGCGACTGCCGGGCAAGGGGTCTCGGGTTCGATTCCCGGGTCGGGCAAAGTATTACTGGGTTTTAAAAAAATCTCAGTAGTAGCACGGAGTTTGGAATTGTGCCCGGTATATGGCAATAGGCTCACCCCCTATTACATGGGACTCATAACATATAAATAGTGAAAAGTGGATGTTACATTGTACAGTAGCATAATGTGCTCCTCTGCCTACCTCTTCGGGGATAAGAGGCTTGATGTTATGTATACTTACTCATTAATCACTGGTTTCAGAATAAGTGGTCACTAAGAGGCTATTTCGTAAAATGTAAAAGTGCCGCTTTGTACAAGAATTAAGAACGAATTTGTATGACCTATAGTAAAGCGTTTCGCATCGCAAATAAACTCCTTGTACGAACCGCTAAGGAATGCAATTCTTTACCGGAATTAGTGTTTCCTGACAAATACAACTTCACCCAAGTTCTTCAAATTCGAGTGAACAGGTTGCTCATAGGTACGTACTCCATCCTCGGCCACATCATCGCTTACCACCAGGTGAGATGGTGGCTAATCGTCATCCTAATCAAGTGTAAAAAATGAGAATTAAGTTTATGAGTTGAGTTGGCAATCTTTACGCCAATGTTTGCCAATCGTGCCTGTAAATATTTATTATTCATGTACCTACACACATACAACACAAAGGACAACACATATTTTAAAAACGAGGTACATAGGTACCACATATTTCAATTGGAATTTCTTCCTGTGGACCTGCCCATACTTTTTATATATTTTTTGTGTTTTGTTATAATTTATTGTGTTTTTTTTTTAATTCTTGGCAAAATAGTTCAGTAATTTGGTGATTCTACTGATAATGTTTTCCGGGTGTTTTGAAAATTGGCAATTTTGTACATTTTGTGCATTTATATTTCCATTTTGCACCTTTGTAAGTACACCACTGATGCCACTATCATAGGAAAATGGCCCCTAAAAACAGTTTTTTTACAATATCTCTTTTTTCTGTGTATTTTACAAGTAAACCGTTAATTATAAAATTAAACTACTAACGATTTCTTCACAATGTACAGTCAAATGCATCAAGTCGTTTAAAGTTCATAAAAATAAAATATAAACCCGAAACACAGTAAAAACAAATATCTATCCATTAATGCAAATGTACACAAACAAAAGTTATTTAAATAAAAAAAAGCTATGGCAATAAAAAGTTTGTATTGCAAACTCTGTGTTGATTAACT